CCTTTGGGCTCTGCATCTCTCTGTTCGCCTCAATCTCAATCGTCAGAAATGTCTATCAACGCCCGAATGAGTGGGGGGTGGGGGGAGGGCGAAATGGCAGAAAAAGGGATTGGCATTGAGGGTGCAAAGATATGGCCAAAGACAAGCAAAAACTAAACAGAAATACCAAATACTTATTGTTCAGAGGAAAATGTTTAATAACGTCCCAAGTCCCCACGCTCGCTCTCCCGTGTCTCTCCGGCATTACGCACACGACAAGTTGTACCATTGTAAATTTAATAAAGCTGTGCGTAAATAGCACAGGAAAGGAAGGAGGCTGTTCAAGGATGAGGGTAGAAATCAAGAAGCCAGCAATTATTTGGTTACGCAATTACCACAGCAACACAACCAGTCAGGTTCAATAGGCTTAAATAATTTCGCCCCCCGAAAATCCCCTCGGCACAGAAAGCAAACAAATAAATTCAATGGCAAAAGAGGCAAAAACTTTCCGGCCCAAAAACACAAACACAAATAGTGAAAGTTTACAAAATGATACTGAAGCCGCCAGTCGAAAATGGAATGACTGATGGGGTGGTGGGGCATGGACTTACAGAGGGCATGGACTGGTGCTGGGGCTTCCAGTCAAAGCAACAAAAGCCGTCTTCTAAATTGCCACAAAATTTATGATTATTGTTTTATATAAACAGCAAATGCGCGAAAATAAAGCTGGCTGAAAGGGAGACCGGGTAGCGAAGTTCTAGTTGTGGGGTGTGGTTGAATGAACAATGAATGTCGGTGCAGAAAAAAGCCAAACGCTTTTCTTCCTATAGCGATACTCAGACGAGAGGCGAAATAAATAAATGAGTTTGTCTACACCACTTCAAAGAGCAACAAAATCAAACTGTTCAATGGCCGCAAAAATGTTGCCAGCGTGAAGTAGAACTCAACAGAATGGTGGGAATTTTCATTGAAAAAGTGCAGCACACACTCGAATTAAAATGATTTTATTTTGGCGGTTTGCCCTCAATGGGAAATGGTTTCGGAAGCTAAACTAAATTCCAAATAAAATGATAATAAAATAGAGGAAATCTAACTTACACAGACTATTTGCGAATATATATTTAAAAAAAAATCAAGTTTTATTTGAGTATATTTATTGTTTATTCACTTGTCATCAGATGATTTATATCACTCACATAAACATTTATGCCGCTGTGCAGAGGATTAAGCCCAACCAACCATTTATATTTATACCATCCAGGCCATGGCCATGGCCACAAACGGGACCGTAACTCAATCATAAACACTTTAAAAGAATTTATATTTATTTCATTTGCTGCTGAGCAGATCAGATCAACGGAACCCCAATATGTCCATCAAAACGAATATACATACATGTGGAAGGTACACACAATAAATAAAAAATAAACTGCACAGTTCACATTAAATCAATCCGCGCTGACTTGCTGCCCACAAAAAGCTGCACAGGCTGTCCCATCAATCAAACGTAAGACACAAACAAAAACAGCACAAAAAGGATGAGCGCTCAACCCCATCCGGAGTTAAAGTACAAAACGTATATAAACTGCACATGGGTTTATACATTTAATTAAAATTGTCTGGCCCCAGACAATATTCGTCAAAGTGATTGGCCTCGAAAGCGGCTTAGGGAACTTAAGTAAATTAAATGTTATGGCTGCGAATGGGTTGAGTGGGCTGATGCTGCTGCTGAGGCTGGGACTCGGGCTAAGCTGGAAAGCCGGGAAACCTCAACGACAACGGTCTTTAAAATACCACACAAACCGAATCGCAATAAATACCAACACCCCAGCCGAGGGTGTGTCTGAAAGAGCATGGTGAAATTTGCATATTTTAAATTACTAGTGGGGCAGCTCTTGGCAGCGATTGCTTTTGGGGTTGACAATGGCGCTGCCAAGACAACTCCAATTTATTTGTAATTTGTTGGAAATTTATATCAAACGGTAGTCCCACACCTATTGCCAGCCCCCCAGAGGGTCTCTATCTCACACACACACACACACAAGGACCTCACACCCATAATTGCACTCATAAAATGCCAAAAGCCTAGGATGGTCTTGCTTCGATATTTATGTTAGGCAGGGAATACCCAGTCGTAGCAGGAGTATAACAGAATTTTGAGTAAGTATCGGAGAGCTGAAAAATTGATTTAATTTTCAGTTCAATTTCTGATCAAAGTTATGTAAGTAAAATTGTTATAGATAAATTTATGTGCTACAGATATTACTTCGATTCGGATATATTCAGCAAAAGATATTTTGGTGGGCAAAGTGAATAATCATATTCCGAATCCTACGACCTTTTTGTTCCTATTCAAATCAGTTCCCACAAAAGATGGCATCCCCAGGTCGATCATTCGAGGGCCTCAGGAAGTACCGTCCCACATGTAGACAGACATATCAAAATGCACACAGACATGGGTAGCAAACAAACAAACAAATTATGTGCTCATTTGAATACACATTCTAATGCGAATCACGTTGACAAAAATTCATTGATGCGTGCAGGATACGCACACACACAGAGGATATGCGGATGAGGATACCTTGACTTTCGAACCGTGCGGCATCCAATCAGCCGTGGCAGTCAAGCCAGGGATGAACATACAGAGGAAAGGGAAGGCAGTGTAGGCCGGGCTAGGCCAGGCCAGGGCAGGGCAGGGCAATGGCAGTGGAAAATTGTCTCCACCTCGGACGCTGACAAGGACATATTTATAAAGCGCTCATTTCGAGCTAAACACATAGTGGTACACAGACCCATACATACACAGTGTGTACACACACAAACACACACACACACCCACAGAGAGGGTGCCCCAATACACAGTTAATCTATCAGGACATGGTGCAATGTGTAGAAAATTAAATGTGCTACGGCTCCATCTCCATCCCAGCCAGAGTTTTACTGAGGATGCGATGTGGTGTGTGTGAGCGTCCTTGTTGTGTGTGCCTCATGTCTGTGTGATGTAAATGCAAACTAAATATGTACCAACGCCAGAGCCATACGCATTAAGTCGATTGCTTCAAGGACTTTCTTGCACGCACAAAAACCCATACACACACTCGGAGCAGGGGGGAGGTTCCATGGTGCTTTGTCATTCACACCCTGTTACCCAGTCCCGCAGAGCTTCATTCCTCATTGTCTGCCCACGACTCCTGCAACTCGCTCGATTCGCGCTCGCTTTTGCTGCTTCCTGGAGTGTAAATGAGTGGCTCCACCATGAGAAGGAGACGATACGACACCATCACCTGGAGATGAAACTCTACCATCCTCGAGAATGGTGCGGGGATCTTCACCACCACCACCACCAGCTCCACCTGGCTATGCATGTGCAGAGGAGGCTTTTTAATAAGCAATTTATTTTTAGCTTAACAACGCTCCGGCCTCCTCCCCATCTGAATGGGTCCCCATCCTCGTCGTCATCCACATATAATGAAATACGCGGTGCCTAAGCGGCGGCTTACAATTCACTTGCAATGCTTCCCCCAGTCCCTCCCTCTCCGGTAGTAGCACGGCTCGGCGTGTTTGCCAACGATAATTAATTTTTTGGCCTACCCCAAGCAAGAAGCTAAGACCATGAGTTTGTCCCCGCATTAAAAGGAAATTAAAATGTTGCCATTCTCCCCCCAGAATTTTTCACCTCGCCAAACCGCACTCACGAAGGCAGAGGCACATGTAATGAGCTTTGGAGACAACTCGAGTTCGACACTGCCGAGAATTGTATGGATGGGGTGTGTATAATGATGAGGACATCGCATCTAAAAAGGGGCATATCAAGAGATTAATTTGAGCAGAAGACGTTTGACTGAAAAGCAATTCCGTATAAATCAGATCTAATAAAGGATGCTCCTAATGATGAATATTGTGTACGTACTACGTATGACTTTTCTTTATTTGGAAAAGAAGAAAGATAAAAGTTTTCTTCTTCAATCCATTCCTTAACTCCTCTTTCAAGCACCGGAGTGTTCTTCTTTTGATAAACGAAAGTGTAGGATACATCCGAGATGCTTGATCATGTCTGTGTACTGCTAGGATGGAACCCATTGGATAAACCGCATTTTGGAAAGAGGAAAAAAAACTGAAAAACTGGTCCAGAATAAAACAATTTGGTGATATCCTTCGCCACTTGTCAAAAGCGTTTATAAAAACAGTGCTTTATTTTCATATGGCCACAAATGGCTGGCATTAACATGGTAGGATGGCAGCATTTCAAGCCTACTCGTAAATCAATTTCGTTTTTATGGCGAATGCCGTTTGTCTGTGCTGCTTGTACGAGTACACGACCATTGGCAGCGATTTTTGTGGCCATTTTTATGTCGTTCAGTTAATAAACCCCTCACCCCCAAAGGAAATAAACAAAAAAAAAACAAGTGGGAACCAAACAAACAGCCAAAAAACTCTCGGTTTTACTTTTGGCCCCGCAAGCGCATAAATATTGTTTTTAAACCTCCATGAAATATGGCATTCGATTTTGACGAATCGGCCATATGTAGATGTGTCCGCATATAACATTTATAAATAAATAAATAAAAGTTAATAATGAATAAATAAAGCCAGACGACACAAGCACACGACAGCCAGAAAAAGCACAAAGGAAAAACGATTTAAACAAAAATTGAAAACTTACTTCAAAGCCGTGGCGCTGCTTTTGATTTGCATATTTAATTTGATTTGCATACAAAAACGTAAAAAACAAGCAAGCTTTACCTTAACCTTTGACTTTGCACATCGGGGATGTGGATCTTCAAGTCAGTGAACCAAAAAAAAAAAGGTACAAAAACAGAATGGATAAAATTGTTGGGAAATCTTGATATTTGGATCACAAAACCACCGCTTCCGACTATCTTCAAAATGATACAGATATCCTACAAGGCAAGGAAACATCTTTCAACTCCATTATCAAACGATTGCAATTTTTCGAGGGGTATTCCAAATTCGTTGCCCTGTAAGACCTTATCTTAAAGCTGAAATATGGTACATACCTTTTTATCGTTTTAATCATCCGCGGCTTAAATGTCCGCCAGAAACCTGTAAAAAAAATGGAAGGAGACCGTGGAATGAAAAAGCTCAGAAAGGGTTTCCATATTAGAAATGTATAAAACTTTTTGTTCCATTTTGTTTTGTTCCTCGTTTTTTTTTTTTAATATAAAATGGCTTTAGCTGGAAAAATTTTGTTAGGGAGAGTGGTCGAGCGAAGGGAATATGTAAATATGTGCTGGATGCTTTTGGTGCCTTCACAGCAGCATGCTCGGAATTTAAATTTGTAGCTAAGCCTCGAAAAATGTGCCTCGCTTCATGTTGTCGGGGGCCTTGGACGCGACTCGAGTCGATTGGAGAAAAAAGCCTGACCCTTTTTATACGAGGTACTACTGGTGTAGAGGAGTATGTTATGATCGTGGAGACGTATGTAACAGCAGAAAGAAAATGTTGTTCGATTGCATAAAAGATATTTTTGATCAGAAAAGCTTGCAGATGACAACCAAGTGTCTTTATTAACAGCTGAAGACTCAAGAGATGCAAAGACACTTCTCTTTGTATGTGTTATGTGTAGTATGTGATGGTCGAGGGGTATCATTTATTCGGAATATCATGTTCAAATATTTTAGGATCCCTGTATGTGATGTATCTTTGGTGACAGAGGGACAACGGACTGCTTGACTGGGATAACAATAAAATTAAATATTCTATTTAATGGCGCCGTAGTATTCCAGACGCGTCACAAAACTTTGCCCAGGGTGTCCTCGAAACTTGATGCATTCCTCCATGGACAGGAGCGTAGTTATTGAATAGATGCTCGATACTTTCTCGAACATTCCTTGGTATCTAAATTCATGACTTTTACTCTACCCATGGCCCTTAGACTGAACGCCCATGTTAGGTATTCATATTCATATCCATAAAAGTTATGTAAGCCATTTTGAAACAAAGGTTAAATTGCATTCACATTATTACAATTCTGATTGTCAGTTTCTAGGCCCGGGGCCCCTTTGGCTGAACCCAAAACCAGCCACGTCTCTGTCCTCGCCAGAAGCAGGCAAATAAAACAGATTTTATTGACGGTCCTTGGCATCCCTTTTTTTTCGTATTCTAATTTTTGGTCCGACATTTTCCCTTTTTTTCGGGCTACACGAAGACTTATCTACTTTGCGTTGGTTGGGGCTTACGCTCTGTTTCTGGTTAGGTCTGGTACGCAATTTGGTGTTTCATATAAATTAAGCAGATAATATAAATTAGATGGGATCGAGTGTGCTTGTGTGATCAGATATGGGGACCTCTGTCTGGGCAGGCAATTTAAAGTAAAGTCCCTTGAAGCGACTACAAAATCGATGACACAAATAATGCCTCAATTAAGCTCGGAAAATCGTTTCTGCCGAGCCAGCGGATGCTGGAAAAACAGTAAGGAGCGAAGCATAATGAAAAACAAGCACAATATTCCCGATGCTTCAATTCCGCCCCCCATCATATTCTCTACTCAATAGATATTTAATACTCAACAGAATTTTTTGTTTGCCCTTCGACCCCTAACCACTGCGATGGGTAACCGCAACCCAGCGTTGGCAAACAGAGTCTAAACTTTTTCCTTCCTTCGACCTTCGGAGGAGGTCGTAATGATTGGGACTCTGTCCGGGGAGTGATGAGGTCTTGAAGGCTCAACATTTGTTTATGCAATATTTTCGTGTATATTTTTCAGCTTTTATACACTTTGTTGATGGTTTTTTTTAGCACCCTATTAAACGCCTTCGGCGGTAGATATGAATTGAGGAAATTTTATGGGAAATAATAAAAATATATGAATACGTTTTTAAATAAAACATCCAGTCAGATCAAAGCTATAAAACTATATCCAAAAAACATTTTAAAATTTAAAAATAGACTCGTTGTTTTTAAAGAAAATATATCCCCTTTAAGGAGTATCCCTCAGTCTATATCTTCATGCCATCAGCAACCCCCAAGCAGAGGAAAAGTTTTAAAGGCGTCCGCGCCCTTGCAGCGCTTACAACTCACTTGCCGCGTAACGGGGGCGGCTGGGTTTGCATTGGTTTGGGGGTTGCCTGGTTCCTGCTTCCTGGTTGAGTGGGTCGAGCGGGCTGTGCCCACACCCCAGTCCAGAGGGCAGGCATAATTGCGCCTCGTCTGAGGCGCAGAAAATGAAAATATTTGAAGCTGCGAACTTCTCAAGTGTAAAAAATTTAATTTCGAAATGTAGGTTTAACGAACGGAAATTGCTTTCGCTCTCCGCTGAAAATGGAGTAAGCCCTTGCCGTTGTCGTGGCTGTTATTATTGGCGGTTGCCTTTCCCTTCTCCGGCATCCGACCGTCCAAATAATGCGGAACAAGCCAAAAAAAAAAAAAAACGAAAAAGCTAAAAAATGTATCTCATTTGGGTTTTTCATTTTGCAATTTGTTTTTGCCAACTTTCTGATTGGGCTCGTGGCTCATTGCGGCTCCGAACAGGAAGGGAATGAAATTATTTAATGTTTTACATAGTACAACCTCCTCTGTGGATCCGCCACTCACTGCCCTGCCCTTGTCTGTGGCCCAATTCCAGCCGATGCCAGACTGGCCGAGTAATTGCAATTGATTCGCCGAGCACTTAGCACGCCAATTTTGTTGCTGGTCACGGTCAGTTTGAGTGGGAATGTGGTCAAGGTTCGTGGAAGGAAGCCAATGAGGCTGGGTCTTCGTTCCCAGAAGTCTGGCATTAGATTGAGGCTTTGATCTTAGGATTTGGAAACCACATTAGCACCTCAGCAATTGCTTTTTATATTGAAAAAAGCAACAACAAATATTTTAAGAACTTTGTCTACTTATTTCAGTGAAAATTTTCCATGGAAATCTCTCGCATGAAATTTATTCCAGACAATCAGACATTATAATCCTTATAATGGCCTCTTACGGATAATTAAGTCGCCGTAATGCTTTATTCGATCGAAATGGCATCTTAAATATGAGATTAAATTCTATTCCATGGAATTTTCGATGAGTATATCATCGGAAGGTGTCTTGCTGTATACGATTGAAAACGCATCTCCCATGCCAAGCAGCACTCGAAAAACCTTTCTCAAGGTTAAGCCCTGAACTTTACGGACACTTTGACTTATTAAGCAGCATTACCGCCACCTCCAGAAAATTTTCGAACCCCCTTGGCCAACCGCGCTGTGTCAAAGTCAGAGTGCAGTTTGTTAAATTTAGGATAAATGCAGAAAGGTTAGGCGGTAGGGCTCTCAGAACTTTATCATGCAAAACGGCTTACCAAAATGGCTCGCACAAGTGTGCAACATAAAACACACTCCCCAAAATCATCCTCAAACACGCCCCTTGCATGTGGAAAACTTTTAGAAAAACCCCTGGAAAAACAGAACTTTTCGGCAAATATGTGGCAAAAGCTTTTTTTTTTCGAAATTGTTCAGAAATAGACTGTGTTGTAGGAGCAAGCCCAAAGCTCGATAATCTGCCCGGCCGGTATAGAGAAACATTAATAACATTAGCCGGGGCCCCTAGCCCCCGAAAACCGAAACAAATGCAAAAAAAACTAATCAAACTTTTGGCCAGGACAACCATCCTGCAGGATAACCGAAACGAAAAATAAATTGCTTTATTTTCTAATTCCCGTAGAAAGCATTTGCCCAGACTTTGTCGGAAAATGTGAGTGGAAGGGGGAAAAATCGAAAATCAATTTCTGTTAATGTATCTGTTCATGGCACTGCCAAGGCGACGCCCACACTAGCGCCCCTCTCATGCGTTTCCTGGCCATAGCATATTTTTGCATAAAGTTTATGCAAACATTTTGTACTCGAAACCCGCATAAATTATGGCACATCCCCCCTGACTGTGGCTCTGGTCGGTAGCCCGACTGCGGCTGAGGCTCCGGCTCCGGCTCCGGTTCGGTGCCCTAATAAACCCTATCTGGAGGACGTCTGAGGCTGGGCGAGTAAGTGGCCCGGTTGCCGCTGCCAGCTCTGCTTATTTTGCATGTCATTTGCGTCTGAGCACTCTCCGGCACAGATATATTGTATGTTGCTCTGCAGAAACTCACCAAACCCCCGGACTGGGGCTAACTTTCACAGTTTGTTTCCATTTTGTGTGCGGCAAATAAATCTTTCGTATTTATAGTTGCGACGATGGCAACGAAGAACAATTGTATCAAAAAAAAAAAAGAAAAAAAGACACCTAAGTTAAGATTTACGGGACGCTCTGAAGAAACCAGTTACTTGTTAACGATCTAAAAAACACTCTTACAATCGGCTAGATAGAAAAAAAAAACTAGCATCTCGGCTGTTCGTCGTTTTAAACCTAAATTCTTTCTTAACTGAAGATGGTGCGTCAAGAACTATATCGCTAAAGGAAATTAGAGTCAGAAGGAAACTCTCGCGATCTGCCCAGATCGTGGTCAGAAGTCTCTGTGGGCATACAAAATCTAGTTTTAAGCTGCAAATGTCTTAGGTGAATTGGTTTAAAATAACAAGATATCTGCCATTCCAACAGACGCCACACCAAATGGCGAGCTGGGGTTCTAAATAAATTTTTTGAAGCATAGAAAGTTTTGTTTTTGGAAGCTTTTCCTGAGAATGTAAGCTTGTGTTAAATTTCAGAATTATTTGATGGTTCCGGTGAAAGTTTAGCTTAGATTTTAGTCAACAGATATACAACAAGTCAGTGGCAGAAGCTCTTGTTTTTCTTTCGGAAATAATAATAATTAAATAATCTATGGAATCAGAGCATGTTTTACATGGTAATCCATTAGTTGTGAGAAATTATTCATCGATTCCGGTGAAGTGAAATTGTTTTTTGGGCTGCCAGCACTACCCATGCCATTATTCTGAGACGGTTTTTCCAGTGAAGTAAGTCCGTGGTGGGTTTCTTTGTTTGGCGGCCCTGCTCCTGTTCTACCTACTGTGCCAACAAATTTTTGCTATTGTTTACTTGGTTCAGAGTGCGTCGTTCCAGCAGTCTGAACTCCCATGGCTGCTTCCGTTTCCGGCTTTGTTTTCGTTTCGTTTCGCTCGCTCACGCACAATGTTTCCGCTGCCGTAGATGCGGTAGCAGGACGAGAACCAGGTCGCCACCTCCCTGCACCTCAGGGCTAGCCAGTCAGCTCTCCACATTTGGTGTTTATTTTATTGTACATTTGCTGCCGGCATCTCCGCCGAGCCGTGAACTGTGTGGCGTGTCATCATCGGCATCATCAGCCCGAGAATCACCATCATCATCGCCATTTCCATTGCCGTTGCCGTTGCCATTCGCCCCATCATTGGCCTTGCCATATGGGAGGTGAAATTTTCTCAGAGCCCATAGACACGATATGGGATGGAGAAGGAGGAGGAGCCCCTGGTGCTGATGTCTGATGTGCAGGTTGTTATTGTCTTCTGGTTGCTTTTTAACGTGTGCCTTTCGTGTTATTTACTTAACAATTTACTGAATAATTTAAACACCTTTTTGCGCCCAGTAATGGGGCGAGAGCAGTCCGAATGGGTATATTAGGCTGCAGAGTTCTCCAACATTTGATAATTAAATATTTGACTAGAAAAATGCTAATAATAATCTCATTTATTAAACAACACCTTCTGGGAATATTTCGATGGAAATGAAAACTGCTTCCACACATTTTGTTTAATGGAAATTGACACTTCTAGGCATTGCTAGGTGTCGCCTAGTCGAACCCACAAATGTCTGTCATATATTTTTGCCACATTTTTTGTTGTTTGCCGCTTCGTTTCCTGTTTGCTCCTTTCCTTTCCTTTCCGTCCAGCGCCAGCTCCAGCCCAGTCTGCCCGTGAATGGGCGTTGAATTATGAGACTGACTTTCCTTTTCGTGGTTTGAGGGTGAGTGGTGGGTGGGAAGGGACACTTTCACGTGTATGACAGTGGGTGGAAACTATCACCCATCCCCACACAGATGCTCTCACACTTGTGTGTGTTGACTTTGTCGAGTCTTTGACTGACATTTAATGCGGTTATCATGTGTGTATGTATTTATATACACACACACATGCACAGTATCTGTGTGGGTGAGCGAGTATGGGTGTGCTGTTTGACTGTGTTGATAATGTGCATAATAAGCCTTAATTAATGTTAAATAATGAATTTTCCCATTTACACGCCGTCAGCGTTGAAAAGGCACTGCCTTTTCTCATATTCTCTGGCGCCGTGTTTCCATTTTCCCGTGTTTCCATTTTAATTCCTTGTCGTCGAGGCAAACACACGACTTTCTGTGGGTTCCCAAATATTTACAGGTGAACCCCCCACACCCCAATCAAAAATTGCAGACGTCACAGTGGAGGGTTGTTTTGGACTGGGGTTCCGAATGGGACCCTGATGGCAACCCCTTTGTTGTGGTCGATCCACCTTTTTTCTGTAAATTGACCGAGGCCACAACACAAACGTTTAAAAAATCTGCAAGTTTTACTTTTGGGCAGTTTGTGTGTGTTCGGTAATTAAATTGCCTTATCAAAAGGTTTTAATCGGAGTGGGTTGGAGGAGCTCCGAAGCATTTGACATTCGTAATTAACATGAGTTTAATTGAATGTTTAACAAATTAATGACAGTTCCCAAAGGATAATTAAGGGCAGGATATATGTTAAAGGTGATTTATGTTCTTCTGAGGCAAAGGCAGACAGTCCAAGAAGATATCGAAACTATAAATTATAGTTTTATATTCATTTAGGAAGCAAACACATTGGAAAAGTGAATCCATCAATTACTAATAAGCATGATCAAGAATTTATATCCTTTTTTCCGATGTTCTTAAGGCACCTATAGCTCTACCTTCATTCTTTCTCAAGTTTCTCCACACCTGGGCAACAAAAGTTTTCTCCGCCACAACTTTATTCCCCGGGAAGTAGTATTCCCCCAATGAACCCAATCTACACCCATAAACTTTTCCAAAGAAAACCCTTTAAATCGAGCACTTTTATTTATTCACAAGCATTTAACTTAATTATACAAGCAACTTCCACGCACAACAAATTTCTACTCGGGGTCGAACCAAAAACATCGAACTTATCCCAAGATGCGAATGGAAATGTAAGGGGAGTCAATGGAGGGAAAATCGTAGCTGGAGCAAATAAAAAGTTCAAACTGTCAGAACTTTGACAGCAATATTGTTGAGTTTTATGTACAACAAGAAGGAATAACTAAAACAGTGCAGAAATTAGAAACAACATACCGAAAATGTCCGAGCAACTTTTCCCTCGATGCGATCAACTTTTTCCGGCTGCTGTTTAGCTGGAGGAAAATCAATGCCCGAATATTTTATCCTTTTTTATATGCCAAACAGGAGGCAAGCGAATATCTATACATATAAATACACGTATATATATATTACACCGATACACTGATATAATGTAGAGGAGGTCATGGAAAAAAATCTAACTGATGGACACCAAAAAAATTTTTTGTTGCCCAACTCAGCGTTTCTCCTCTTCTTTTCTTCTGTTGTTTTTGTTGTTTGTTATTTGGTTTGATGTTGGTTGTTATTTGGTTGTTAGAGTTGTTGTAGTTGATTAGCCCGACTGATTGTGTGGATTTTTATTATATTTTTTTGCGTTTGTGCCTGTTTTTTATGGTCTTTTATGGGCGCTGATTTGATTGCATTTTATTTCTGGGCTCTGAATAGAATTCTTTCCCGTTTTAGTGGCACTTTCGCTGACAGCCCTTGGGGCAATTATTTCAGTATTTTTTTTGGCTGTACCGGAAAGTGCTTGAAGTAATTTTTTTTTTTCAATATTTTTGCTGGAAAGTGTTTGTCTTTACCAACGTTCAACGGGTTCCATTGGGACTGTGTGTGTGTTATTTTTTAATATTTTCCCCCCAATTCTGGGATGCTGTCGCCTGGTGGGTGTTCCGCCCTCTGAGTGGCATGTCAATCAAAATCAATCAAAATGTTCTTTCACTCGACGACGAGTGCTGTCACTGTCGCTGCCCCTGGAGGTGGAGCTGGGGCTGGGGCTGGGGCTGGGGCTGGAGCTGAAGCTGGAGCTGCCACGTTTACGCGCTCGTTAGCGTTTACACATGTTGTTGCACGTTGCTCGCGGTGTTTCCTCAATTTGCGGCAAATGGATTTTACGTTATTCGTTGCTCAGCTCTCACTATTTTCCCGGCACACACACACACACACACAGACCGACGACACCCACTCCACTCCACACCACTCCACACCACACACACACACACAACCCGGGAGTGCTGTTGTGAGCGACGACCACGGCGACGACACCGGAGCGCGTTTTAGTTATCCTAACAAAATTCTCATTGAGGCACGTAGTAGCTGCTGCAGATCCTGTGCCACACTCACTCACACTCGCACTGAAATCCGCACCCACACACCCGACCGTACGGCCGTACGGTACCCGTATACACGCTGCACGTTTATCAGCTTCCTGGAGGGCCTGACCTACTGGCCGCTTTGTACGGCAACCATTTTGTATCGGGCCGGCTGGGTTTTACCTTACGCTACTTAATTTCTGTGGTCAACTTTTTGCACGGTGAAAGCATGAAAGTGCATTGGGTTTTGGATGAATCGCTTTCGCACTGCACGACGCCCGCACACAGACTCCGTCCGGCGGTGTGCTTCGCTTCGCTTAAGAGAGAGGGTGGAACGTGGCGCCCGGCTGTGTCTGTCGGTTACGGCGTCAAATTTGAGACTGGCTGTGCCCCGCAACGCTCGGGCGACTTTCAGCGGCCAGGCGGCGTCAGCGGTCGTCTGAACATGCTCGTGGCACGTCTTCGGCTCGCCCAAAACTGTTATACGAACACACAGAAAAAGAGAAAGCGCTCAAGTTTCACCCGGTGAACACGAAGAGAGAGAGAGAGCCAGAGAGTGCCAGCAACGCGATGAGAGAGCGCAGCTGTTTAAGGCTGTTCCTCAGAGTGCTCAGAGAGAGGGAGAGGAGGATAGAGAGGCCACGAGAGAGGGATTTTTATTTTTAGTCTGATTTATCCGTTTCGGGATATGCGATGTACGATTATATGGGACCTGTAAACTGCATACTCAATGGGACTCTGGGACTATCGCATGCAAATAACATAACATAAAACTCCACACAGCTAGATGAAGTGTGGGCTAATGCAAAATATCTATTTGTGAGCACATGGAAATATGTTTTTAACTAAGGAAGAACCGTCTAAACATTTATTCTAATAGTTCATTTCTGTATTAAAGTTTAAGTTGAATTCAAAGTTTTTTTATAGCCATAAAATGATCGATAATAAAGAATAAAAAATAAGTAAATAAATAAACTATAAAAACTATAAAACTATAAACTATAAAAAATGTTACGAGTCTTAAAAAACAGTACCAATGAAGGATAAGCACTCTAACATCTAGACAACGCATATTCCAAGTTAAAATCCCTCCAATTTCTGTTATTTTGTATCCCCTCACTCCCTTACTTATGCCTTGTCCTTTTTTAGTTGTATGTTTTCCCATTTGGATAAGCACTATCAATGCTTTTTGTTGTTTACGTACAGCTTCCGCTTCCCTATTCCTAATATTCCCTACCATAAAAACAGTATAAGGGTATGTCCTACTGTTCCCAGAAATATCCCTCTATTGCTCTCTTCCACCGGATATAACAGCTGCACGCGACTATATCTGCTAATCTCTCAGTGAGTCGGCGCCGCACTCAAACCCAACCTCAACACTCAGCTGACTGAGGAAGTCGTTTAGGAGTAGAACTTTACCACAGACTCAATCATGAAACTTCCAAAATGAAGTCAGCTTAGAACTGGAGCTAGAGCTGGAGCTGGAGCTAGAGGTAGGATAGATTTCCGAGGTCCCCTCCGATCTCCAAGAACCGAGAACGTCTGAACGTCACGGCTGATGTCAAGCAGAGTCCTCCCCCGGGGCCAAAGAAAAACCATTTTTGCCAAAAAGCAAAGACAAGAAAAAATGCGAGACAAAGGATGGTTATGGATATGGTACGAGTGTCCTCCCCCTGTAGGGGCTGCTGGCAGCCAACAGCGAAAAATATCGATTCGGTTCGATTGTTGTTGCTTGACTGGGCCGCGGCCACGGCCGCCCACAGCGAATTGTATATTGCTTTATAAGCAGCTTCTGTCTTCAGTCGAAAGGCCCCAATCCACCGTTCTGCAGAGGCCCTGCGGTTGCTTATTTGTCTGCTTTAGTTTTCGCAGTCAAGTCCTTTTCCTTTTCCCGAATGAAAATTTTCATTTTTCGCTGTTTTTCTTGTTTGATGCCTCTGATCCCCAGCCCACAGTGAAATGAGTAAATAACCAATGAAGCAGATAGAAATGTTTATTGTTATTCCCTGGCAGTACCCCCCGAGTGCCCCGGCGGTCATTCAAATCAATTCTGTAGGCGCACAGCAGCTTGTATCTGTATCTGTATCTATAGCTGTTTCTATTTCTGCTTCTGCTTCGGCTTCTTCTTTTGCTGGTCCATCTCCATCTGCGCTTGTATCTTTATTTAAATTTACATTTAGCTGGGATGGAGGACAAGATGGTCGCTGCGAAAAGTAAACGACTCATTGCACATTATGAATGGTGGACGTGGACGCTCCTCCGCTGAGCACACAGCCATAATAATTATTGTCGCTAAGTATACGCACCTTGGACCGGAACAAGGGCCCTTCCCCGCCTCGGTAGTTGTTCCTCGGCTGCTTGTGCCGCATAGTTTGTGTCGCATTAAAACTATTTAAGTTTTTAATGCCCTAACAGCGATGATCTTGTGCCTGGCATATAAATTACTCCACAGCCTTTGCATTAACGCAACTTCAAAGGAGCTCTAGGAGCTGCTGGAGAGCCCGAGCCTCCCTGAAGCCTGCCGCACGTCCTTGCCGTCAGGCAAGAAAACCAACCGAGCAGTGTGAAGCTCCAAGATGTTGAGCACTTTGCCAAAGTTTTTACTTGGCTCGTTGGCAATTTTTACTTTGTTGCTTTATAGGGATTTATGTTTAATCGGCCAAAGGTTACTTCCACTCAGATTACACAGGTGCACACAAACACAAACACACACACACGCGGGCGCCCAGACACGCAGGCAGGGGGCTGGGTTAAGAGCTCTTTTGTCTCAGCATTATCGAAAGGGATGGGGAGGTAACAACACAGACAAAGAGAGAGAGAAAGAGAAAGAGAGAGGGGAGACAGTGCACTGTCAACGCGAAAGTGGAAATTATTTGGGCACTTGCATATCACCTATGACAGAGTTGAATGGAAGGGATTCCCCTTCAACCCCTTCAACTCTTCGCGGAAATTCCTCAAAGTTCAGATAAGTTTTATACAGATTGTTGAACCGCTAATGGCTGGGCTTATAACTTAAGATCTTCAAGAGTTGTTGGAAGTTCTTCGGGCTGCGTTGACTTTATGGGTTTCCAGGGAGAGCCAAGTGCTCTGAGGGCTAACAGAGCCACCTAAGCCAGACCTTAAAATATGATTGTTGCTATGAGACAGAGGTTTGAAGTTCCACAATGCTTAGAAATGTCTTTTATCGACTTCGTTTACTCTTAAATACCATTCATAACAGACAAATGATTTGCGATGGGTATTTGTTGCATTTTCAAGAGTTGTTCTAAGCTGCCTTTATGCGAAACTCCACCAATTAAGTAACGACATCAACTGCAACTGCATTTCGCTTATCGCCATCATCGTGTTCATTAGTCCGTTGCTGACCCTCTTATTTGCTTGGATAAACTGCTGCAATTGTCCCCTGGATCCGTCCAGCCCGTGCACCATCCTCGCAGGTTCGGTCAATAATGGAACTTTCCGTGGACTTTAATTGGGGGACTGGCAGCAGCAGCAGCTGCTGCATGTAAACCAATCTCTAGTCAGGGCACCTCCCCGGGGCTGGTGTCCACCAATCTATGTTAATTAAATTCGCCCTGGGCCATGATCTGGCATGCAACTTTCACAAATATATATATCCATGGCATAAAGTGCTCTAAGAGCCAACATTGATTGCGACTAGGAGACGCCTTCGACGTGCACCGAGCGGGTGCCATAGCCATACCTTTCGGCGCAGTTCTTTGATTTGTGTCTAGACGAAGGAGCGCGTGTCGACGCTGGAAAAAAATAGACAAGAACTAGAAGAGGGAAAAGCCCTTGGCTTTTGGGAAATTCATAGCCAACGCGAAAGTTTATTAGATGCTCTTTGCTGCCTTGCTGCCTGGCTGCCTGGCTGCCTGGCTGTCTGTCTATGCGAGTATCTTTCTAGCTTCTATCTGTGTGTTTGTGTCTATGTCCTTTGTGTTTGTTGCCTTTTCCACGCCGGCAGAATTTTAATTTCCGCCAGGCGCGTGTGGCACGTGGCCGCACTGTCAAGGAAGTCGCTGGCCCGAATTGACAAAGCCAAAAGGCGCCTTTTGAAATACAGCCAAGTGCCAGGTCCTTTGTGCCGGCGCACCGTAGGCGTTCTGCCATCAACTTGTCCTCTCTGTAATTATGGCCCCTGCCCTAATTAAAAGTCAAAATAGTTGACCTTGGTGCTTGGCCCCATCTGCCGAGGAAAAATTAACGAGTACGAGTATCTATGCTGGAAAAGCAGTAAGAAAAACTTGGTAATATTCACTGGAATAGTTGGCGCTTGTTTTCCAACGCGTTGGAGCGTTCAATGCACTTTGAATATTTGTTCAAATATTTGGCCACATCTTCTCCCATCATCATTCTTTTCGGTTCGGTTCGGTTCGGTTCGATTCTATTCTGTTTCCCCTATTTTAATGCTATTGTTGTACAACTTTTGTACAAAATATTTTACGCCCCACAATTTCCTGCATCTATTTTGTACCATTTTTGTTGCTCCTGTTTAGACTGAAAGACAGGAAGACAGACAGTCCGACAGACACAGACACACACACATTTATGAGAATGGCTATTGGCATGGAGCCATGGCCCAAAGCCTTCGTGATGCAGTGGGCTCTTTTGGTTTCTTTTTTCCCCATTCGGTATTTGCAGCTTTTGTTTCGATTCGCAGGCACAACGGACAAATTTCTATTACCAAAACTTTGTATGTACTCTATAGGGATATAAAAATGGTATAAATCGGCAGCCACACCGAGCCTCAATTTTCCAGTCAATGTGCGAACAGCTCTACAAAACGAGTTTATGCCAAGTACTGCAGGCGCTCTGATGGGATGATACCTACGAGCTTTTATGCTGATTTCCACGCAATGAAAATCTCTTTGATCTAGTTTTGGTCAAGAGAGAGAAAGTAGCTTTTGTTAATGTATACAAATATATGTAAATATATTCTAATCATTTTAGATGATTCGCCATTTGCTTCATTTTGGAATCAAAAGACTGTTATAATCATAACTTTTTGTTTAAAGATTTTTAAGATATCAAATGCTTCATGTTCCAATGTGCAGAGTTTTCCAACAGAGCATTGTCCATTCGTTGCTTTTTGGCATTCGAAGATTTTCCCAAATTAATACTTAAAATGCGCTGCGTTGTCAGGCTGGGATTTGTCTGGCTGTTCTGCCTGCCAAATGGGAAAAATGTTCGCTCCGCCGATTTCATTTTGGCACGGATTGCATAACAAATGGTCCAGGAGCAGGAGCAGCACACACCAGGAATGGGAATGTCAATGTGAATGCGAATGGAATCGTAGCCCCGGCTTTCCCAGTTGCCCAAGATTGAAGCTTGGAAAAGGCTGCAGATCCAACTAACTTAATGTGGAAAT